TACAAGAATGATAATGAAAAGTTGTTAACAGGACAAAGGTTTTATTGGTTTTTACACTTTAATTTTTGATAAATTCCTTCTAACATCTCTAACCTTTCTAACTTGAAACACTTTCACCTCTAACTTTAATTTGGGGACCTCATAGTTCCTTACCATAATTTTGATTAGCTTGGATCTATTGTTAAGCTACACTGTTTTTTCCATCCAAAGTTAATGTTTAGACTAACACAAGGATAATTAGGGTATTGAAATCACTATTTTAAAATCTAGACCAAATTGGTCAGTCCGATCGGTTGAAACAAAATCAATTACAGAATCGGTTCGAATTATGACATAAACCTAGTTTATAATAAGATCCGATCAAAGTTAGTCAAATCCAATCATTATGACATAAACCCAGTTTATAATAAGATTCGATCAAAGTTAGTCAAATCCAGTCAAATTCGTTGGCTTTTGAACCGATGACCTGTCTGGTTCACAAATTTTGAAAATTTTCAACAAATTTGTGCGCACAAGAGGATTCGAACCCTACTCCTACCCACATTTCAAAGTTTTTACCATTGGGCCACCAACACCATTATTGTTACTTTTACACAAAATTTTATTTATTTAGATAAAATAAAATAAAATAAAATAAAATAAAATAAAATAAAATAAAATAAAATAAAATAAAATAAAATAAAATAAAATAAGGATATATTTATGTAATTTTAACAATTAATTATTTTCTAAGTCAATATCATGTTAATGATTTTAATTGTATATTTAATAAATAAATTTTTTTAATATGTGCTCTTAGGATATAAGTAAAAGGAAAATGATTTATCTCCGTTTCTTTTGTTAACCCAACAGCTCTTCTTGTCACCTAACACAACTTTCCTCTTCACCTAGCCCTAATTCTTTGATTTTCTTTCCCTCTCTTCCCCTTCTTCTTCCTTCTCTTCCTTGCTCCTATCTAGGTTGCAGAACCGAGAAGCTGCATTTGGGTTGTAGAGCCCAAATCGAGTTCTGCCACATAACCCAGATCTGAGTTTTGCAATAGAACCTAGAACTCGATCTCGGTTCTACTGAATAGCAAGGTGGCAAAAGAGGAAGGGAAGGAGTAGGAACTTGCCGCCATTCGGTGATTTTATAGTTAACGGAGTAAATAACGGAGTTAACGAATTAAGTAACGGAATGAGAGTGTGTAACGGAGGGTGAGGAATTGCGATATGTGCCAATCATCGTCCATAAGTAAAATTTTATTAAATATAGTATTTTTAATTAATTTTATATAAATTCTTATATTAGATTTAATTAAAATAAAATAAAAAATGTAAAATTGAAATATAATATAATATTTATAATCAAAATTTGTAAAAATATAAAAATTGGATATAAAAATTTGTATAAAATTAATTAAAAATTTTACATTTAATGAAGTTTAACTCATACTCTTAGGAAACATGTTAAACAAATTCTTAATAAATTAAAATTAAAGATTAATTATTAAAAGGCAAATTAAATATAAAACATGTTAGAAAAATATTTTCATAAAATAAAATTTATAAATTAGTTAATTTTAAAAATAAGATAACAGAATTAAAGTAAATACCTTTAAACTCAAATTACGAATCATATTACTAAATTAAATTAATTTTTTTAAGATTTTAAATTGTTTATTTAATAAAATCAGAAGTAATAATGATAATGATTGGATAAGATTCAAAATTTTAAGTGTTTAAATCTTAAATGAAATTTGCTTTAATGATATTGTTCTTTCCTTTTTCTTTTTATTTTTTATAGAAATTGTTTGATGTTAAAAGATTTAAATTAAAATTTTTATTTAATTTTTGTAAAATTAC